CCGTGGCCACGCCTGTCGCGCCGCGGGCGCCGAGCCAGCGGGCGAGCCAATCCCGGACGCCGTCGCGGCGCTGGATCGCGCCGCCGCCGACGTGGCAACCCAGGCAGTGCCCCGCCGTCAGGTCGGCCCCGCAGCGCGTGCCGTCCTCCCTGCATCGGCAGCAGGTGGCGCTGGCGGTCGCTGGCAGCGGCAGCTGGAGGCGCAGCGCGAGGGCTGGGAGGAAGTGCGCGTCCGCCAGCACGTGGTCCTCCGCAGCTGGCGGCTGGAGCCAGCTCCCCGCTCCCTTCCCGCTGGCCGAGCGTAGCTGCGCTGCCCGGTCTGGTGGCAAGGAGCCGCTGCCGGCGCGCGTGCTGCTCTGGCGCCGCGAGGGCGCGCTGTGCTTTCGCCTGCGGCTCCGCGGCGGCGCACAGCCAGGTCGCGCCGCGCACCTGGAGAGCGCGGCCCGCCCCCTCGGCCGCCCCCCACGCAGCCGGGCAGGCGAGCTGGAAAGCCTCGAGGCTGGAGAGTCCGAGCTCACTGCAGACGCCCGCCAGGCACGCCTGCCAAGCCCCCACGAAGGCGGGCAAGCGGCGGCGCGCGAGGCCCTGCAGCCCGAGCCCGCCGCCAGTGCAGGGCAAGAGGGCCAGGTCGCGCGCGTCGTCTGGCAGAGTCTGGTGCCCAGTGAGCGGCCGCAGGATCTCGTGCACGTGGCCGAGAACCGCCGCGTCGTACGCCTGGCACCATGCCTCGTCCAGGAGGCGCGCTCGCGCGCGGTGCAAGGCCGCGCCGTTGGCGAAGGTGCGGAGCAGGAAGAGCTCGTCCTGGGCGCGCAGCCCGTGCCCTCGGAGCCGGCGGAGGGCCGCGAGGTAGGCGTCGAGGTGGTCTCGGGCCGCCTGCGGGGCGGCCGTCGGCGAGAAGCTCGCCCTCGCGGGGTCGGCGCCCGGGCCTGCCCCCGCCGCGTTGCGTACGTAGGGCAGCGTGCTTCCCACGCACGTGAGGTCGGGCACTGCTGCCCTCGCCAGCGGCCCTGGGAGAGGCAAGTCTCGAGGGTTCCACACCTTGGTCTTCCGCGCGCTCAGGCGGAGGCCGCGCGCCGCCAGGAGCGCTGGCGCCGCGAGGAGCGCGGCGGCCAGTGCGCGCGGGCTGCCAACGACGTACACGTCGTCGAGGTAGGCCACCACCCTGGCGCCGGGGTCTTGGCGGCGCGCCGCCGCCTCCAGGTCCTCGTAGAGAGTCGCCGCCGCCAGCGCGAAGAACGCCGGGGAGAGGGGGCAACCCTGGTCCACCCCGCGCTCCGCCCTGACCGGCGCCGCCCTGGCCCCAGGAAGGCAGGCCCCGTGCGCGGTGGCCCTGCCGTACCACGCCTGCGCCAGCCGCGAGAGCTCCGGCAAGCGGCCAGCGACCTCCCGCAGCAGAGTGTCCCGGCAGAGCTCGTTGAACGCGTTGGCCACGTCCAAGGAGAGCACCGCGGCGCCGGAGTCCTGCTCCAGCGCGGTCGCCACGATGCGGTGCATCAGCTCGATGCCGCTTTTGCGGCCCACGCCAAACTGGCAGCGACCCACCGCTGCAGCGATGGCTCCCTTGTGCGCCGCCGCGGCCGCCTTGGCCGCCATCCGGCGCAGCGTCTCACCGCAAGCCAGCGGCCGCGCGCCGCCTCCCGGCTTCAGCAGCGGCAGCAGCCGCCCGGTGAGGATGGCCTGCACGGCCTGCTCCGGCACCCGGCCCTCCAGGATGAGGACGAGCACCTGCGCGAGCGCCTGCTTCCCCTCGCTGTGCCCGCGCAGAGCCGCCCAGTGCTCGAAGCGGGCGCCCGAGAGGCCTGGGCCCGAGTGGCGCGGGTACTTCCCGAGGCTGCCCGCTGCCTCTTCGGCCGCGTCGGCCTCCCAAGGCTCGGTGGGCCGCGCTGCGGGCGGCGGCGGCGGCGGGCGGTCGGCGGACGCCGCCGGCGGGAAGAGGGCGGCCAGGTCTCGAGCCACCCCGGGCCCTTGCGCCAGCTGGCCGGGCCCCGCGGCCGCCGCAGCAGCGCGGCCGACCTCTCCGAGCACGATGAGTTCATGCACCCGCCGGGCCACTTCTTCGGGTTTCCGCTGGCCCGCACGGTCCTCGACCAGTTCCCCGGGTCGCGCTGTCGCGGCCCACAGCGCCGTCCAATCGCCGGCCCAGGCCTGACGGAGGCGGCACGGAAGCACCTTAGAGGCCGAGAGCTGCTCGTCACTGCTGCTGGCGGGGGGCACCGCGAAGAGCAGCCGCGGCAGCAAAAGCAGCCGGGCCCACGCCGCCTCGCTCGTGGGGTCCGCCGCGACTGCGCGCAGTGCCGCGGCGAGCACGTCCGCGACCGCTGCGGCGAAGGCCGGGGGCGTCGCTGTCCACGTGGGCACCGGTTCCCGCAGGGCGCCGTGCAAGTCGAAGCCCGCCCACCACTCCAGCCCAGGGAGCTCGCCCGCCTCTGCCGCCAGCATGTGCCGCGGCTGGGGGTCGTTGGCCGGCGCGTCGTCCGCCTCTGGCTGGGCAGCCCCTGGCGCCAGTGTCGTGCAGGCGAGTATCTCCACGCGGCCCTCCTCGGGTAGTGCCGCCAAGCCCTCCACGGACCCGTGCGGCACACCGCCGGCGATGCATGCCGGGTGGCGGAAATACCTGTCAGGATTCGCCCTGCTCGCCAGGCGGACCGCCCCCAGCGCGAAGCCTTCGCAGCACACGCAGCAGGCCGCCACGTGCTTCCGGGGCGCCTGTCGGCTGGCCACCCAAGTGCGCGCTCGTGGAGGGCGCTGGGTAGCGGCGGCAGGCGGAGCAGCGGAGGCGGCAGCGACAGCGGCGCCTGCGGCGCTCTCCAGGGCAGCAGCGGCGCGGGGTGCGCCGCCAAGGGGGGCTGCTCCGGAAGGCGCGGCAGCAGCCGCTCCGCCCACGTCCTCGTCGTCCCCCGCCGCCATCCCGACGTCGACATCGACCTCCCCCCTAAGAGGCCTCCAAGAGGGCCCCGGAAGGACCGAAGAGGGCCCGGAGACGGCCAAAGAGGCCTCCAAGGCGGCCCAAGAGGCCCCGAAGATGGCTCCAAGAGGGTGCCCAGATCGGGTACCCGAATTGACATTTCGAGACCTCGGACCCAAGAAGCTCCCAAAGGCTCCAAGAGGCCCCCAAGTAGGCTCCCAAGAGGTCCCCAATCTGCTCCCAAGAGGTCCCCAATCTGCTCCCAAGAGGCCCCAGAACTGGCCCCCCAAGAGGCCTACGAGATCGCTCCGAGGAGACCCCAAGAAGCATCCATGCGGACCCTGACCCACGTCAACGTCGTCGTCGTCGTCGTCGTCGTCGTCGTCGTCCTCGTCGTCCTCGTCGTCGTCACCCTTCCGGGTCGGCGGCACTGGCCGTCAAGCCTTCGCAAGAAACAACCAGGACCTTGGCGCACCCAAGAGAACTGCACCCGCGGGTCGACACATCCGCCACTCCTCGTTCTCTCCGGTCGGCGAGCCCGGCTGTACGATCGGGCACGTTGTTTTTTGTCTCGGGCCTGGCGCTCGCGCAGATCGGTCGGCCACACGCTGACAGGGGTGAAGTGTGCGTGGACCTGGCGCGTAGGCACCAACTCCACGGATCGGGGACGGCGCCCTCCGAAACGTGAGGCCGATGCCGGCTGATTTGGCGACGACACGCGACGATTCTGCACGGGAGCGGAAACACTTCGCTGATCCACGCGTCTTGATGCATGCGTGGGCGTCCTCGAGATTGGGCGTCGATGCCCCTTGGTTTTCGGGTCGTAATTCGGTTCTCTGGCGGCCGTTCGGAACGATCCGGGCACCCCAGGAACTCTCTCGGCGAGGCGCAGGTGCTGGAAGGCATCCCGAGGCTTGGAAGCCGCCGATGACCGACATACGCGCCCGAAAGCCACGAAGTGTGGACCCTCCCTCCTTGAAGTGAGGTCCCCCACCTCCTCACATTATTCTCCTCTCTCCCTTGACTCTGTGCGGAAGATGTTCGGCCCTCTCCGCGTCTTGTTCGTTACACACAGAACTTCAAACATTGATGCCTCCGATGGGCTGGTTTAGAATCGATGGATGTCCGTGCTTCAACAGTGCTCCCGCTGCAGCGTGGGCCTCATTTTCGGATCGCTGATGTGTTCCCGTCGTTCAGAATGGCGCGTTCGCCACAGCGCGGACCACTTCTCTGGATCCGAGTACTTTTCCATCTTTGTCGACCCCCTCATTTCCCCTACGCCTTCCCCTGCTTCCTCTGCTCCTGCTACTCCTTCCACCCCAGTTCCTGCTGCTGATGTTCTTCCTCGTCCTCCTCCTTTCTCCTCCTCCTCCTCCTCCTCCTCCTCCTCCTCCTCCTCCTCACCCTCCTCCTCTTCCTCCTCCTCCTCCTTCTCCTCCTCCTCCTCCTTCTCTCCGTCATCCTCCTGTATACGCAGATCCACTTTTCCGATTGCGCACAACACGAGGGCCTTTCTGAGCTCCAGGTCGGCCATGACGTCTGCGAATATAGAGAACATATCAGCGCAGAGGGAAGGGAGGGGAGGCAGGGATCGGATGTCAGATATGGCGCGAGCGCACCCAGCTCGCCCCTCTAGGGGGACGAAGAATTGCATAAACATTCAAACTCGGAGGTCCGCGCGGATTTCTCGGATCCGCGCTGGACCCCCCGGGCGGCGCCTCTGGCACCGCCCCTGGCGCGCTCCGCGCGACAAGAAGGGCGGTCCAGCCCGGATCCGAGAAATCCGCGCGGACCTCCGAGTTTGTATGTTTATGTCATTCTCCGTTCCCCTACCCTTAAGTCGGGCCTGTCCTCCTGCAGAGGGATTTTGGACGAAACCAAAAAATGAGAAAACAATACACCAACATGGTCAACAAATACTCACAGAATCGTCCTCTGACTATGTTTTGACTATTTTTGAATTTTCCTCCTGTAGAGGGACAGGCCCGGCTTAACCCTACCCTCCCCCCCCCCTTCCCGTCCCCCTCGTCCTGGAGCAGCGGCAGAGGCTGGAGAACGGCGCGGGGGAACCGTCGGGGGCGAGCTGGGGCCGCGGCGTTCTGGGCCCAGGGATCGCCTCCCCCCTCCCACCACGTAGAGCGGCCGAGGAGGAGCAGGAGGAGGAGGAGGAGGAGGAGGAGGAGGAGGAGGAGCAGGAGGAGGAAGAGGAGGAGGAGGAGGGGGGAGGATGAGGAGGGGGAGGAGGAGGAGGAGCAGGAGAAGGAGGAGGAGCAGGAGGAGGAAGAGGGGGAGGAGGAGGAGGAGGAGGAGAAAGGAGGAATAGCAGGAAACAGTGGGGTTCCAGTGGCATACGGCGCCCCCCGCCCAGAACAAAAGGCCGTGCTGCACGTAGCCATACGTCACCACCCGGCCTGCACCCTTGGCGCTCACCGCTGTCTCAGGCTCCCCGGCCCAAGGCGACACACAAGTAGAATCCCATGCAGCCAGCCAAAAAATATTGAGACACGAGCCGATGAGAAAACATCATGCCCATGTGTGAAGAATAGCTCGAGTAGCTCTGGGAACGGCGGGCAGGGGCCAAACAGATCGCCCCAGCAATATGCGCGACGAGAAAATCCACAATCCACACGAATGGTATAGCACACTTTGGAACGCAATTATATGCACGTATAAGATGCACAATCACCGCGAGCGAAGCTTTACCGTAGCGAGTGCAGGCCGACGCGGGTATACGATCAAACAAAGGTTGGAGGGCGAGCTCGCAGTGGAATGGAGAGCCCCCCACCGGGAAATCGGCTTCGGCTTCGTGTTCGTGTCGTGCACGCGGGCGAGGCGAAGCTGCGTGGGCGCACGAGAGGAACCGCCGTCACTGGGGCGATTCGGATGCGGTGGACCGCCCCTCCGGCCCCGCCGGGCAAGCGGTGGCCCGGGGTGTCCCGCCGTGGTGTCCTGTGATGTCCCGATGGTGCTCAATTGGTATCCCGTCGGTGTTCCGTCGACGGTGGGCGGGCGGTGGCCGGGGGTGTCCCGCATTGGTATCGATAGTGAAGTCGATAGTGAGTTCAATAATGCGATCACTAACATGGGATGGATAGTAAGATCATAAATGAGATCGACAGTGCGGTTGATTGTGACATTGGTTGCGATGTAGAAAGCGGGGACGATAGTAACATTACATCTCCGCGCAGCATCGCCGACACGCGTCATCGTCGTTGACTCGAGGGCGCGTCACCAGCATCGTCATCATCACACCCATCGCATTTGCCAGCAGTTGGTTCTTCCCTCCCCACCCCATAACAGTCTCATCACCCGCAGGGTGGTCGTATAGATATCTCCTGACGCCGCTGGAAACCAGCGACTGGGCGAACGGCTGAACAGGATCCACCCTCCGAAGGCGTCAAGTAGCTTCACAACAGCCGCCCTCACCAGGCCACGCAGGGAATCTGAAGTCCGCTGCCTGCACAATGACCAGTGTTCGGAGCAACTCCACAAGTGCCACACCGAGCGCACGCGAGAGGAAAGCCCGAAATGCATGCTTGCGAACAAAGGAGTGCAGTGACCAATCACATGTAATTGGTTACAGTGGAGGCCAATCCACACGAAACCTTCCGCAAGAAATCCAACCCTGAGACCCCGGGAAGTCCATTGATGTTTGGCGTGGGAGCGCCGCGCGTTCCATCGCAAAGCCATCGACACCCCAGAAATCAAGAGCGCACCCTGGAGGCAAGCAGGGTGCTTCTTGGCATGGGTCTCCGCTGCGGTACGCAAGCAAATGTTGTTGACTGCCTCGCAGAGGGAATCCGCCCAGCACTGCTGCTCCACAGAGTGGAGGCACGCCCGAGAAAGGGAGGGCCTGGTCGGGCACAGCACGCTGGGGCCTCCACCTGCCTGGGACGCACGCCGCCCACGGAATCGGGAAGGAAGCGGCCCGAGTAATTACGGCAGGCTCGCGTCGTGTCGGCCCCGGCGCTGGCTCCCGACACCGCGAGGGTCGCTCAAGCTTGACCGATCGGCCGGTCCGTGAACGCCGGATCGTTCAACGACGGGCCGATTCCGGGCCACGGGCGGCGTTCAGACTTGCACGCACGCGGCAGGGTCGCCGCTGGTCGGCACGACGCGAGCATGCCGTACATGAGTACAGAACGTCCCACTGCAGCCCCGAAGTTGAAGCACGCCCAGATGGGGAGGGTTAGGAGGCAACTGCAGATCGGAAGGATTAGGGAGGAGTAAGCCCCACGTGGGGGGCTGCTGCGCTGGGATCAGGCCGCGGATCATGCGGGATTGAACCGGATTTTTTAGGGGGGAGGAGCCATATTCAGCGGGATTAAACGCCGGATGAAACCGGAGTCGGACCGGGGCAAAGTCAGGACTCGACCTCCCAGGGGCTGCATCCGAAGGAGGGCGTTGCCTGGCGCGGCCCGCCGGGACCTCCGCCTGGGGCGGACGCCGCCCTCGGAGAGCAGGCAGGAACCAAGGCCCAGCCAGCATCAGCTGCGGAGGGCATGGCTCACGCGTGTCACGAACTGTTCGTCCCGATCCTGGTCGACTGGACTCTGATGGCAAAGGCGCCAACTAGTAGTTGCAAGCACGCCGCGACAGGACGCTGGGACACGACGGCGAGGCAATCCAGAAGCCAATCTGTCCAATGGTCATGGGGGCACATCGGGCCGCTGCCTTGAGCCAAAATGGCTACGGAATGGGGGAGGGAGGGGGAGGGAGTGGAGGGAGGGAGGGAGGTGATAGAGGGAAGAGGCAGGAAGGAGGAAACGGGAGAGGAGGGGAGGGGAGGGATGTAGAAAGGAAGGGCGATGGGGAGGGTTTTTGTTTGGACGTGGATGAGCGCTAAGCCCTGAAACCCTCACATATACCCTGAGGGCAGACCCAACCATCCGCAGTTGTAAGCACCGCAGTTGTGAGAGTCGCTATCGGTGGAGGCCCCCTTCGGGGGCCACGAAATGTGTGGGGTGTGTGCCGAATCGGGCACGGGTACGCCATGCGGACTGTGCCGCTGGAGCCTTCGGTGGGATCCCCTATGGTGCCACGAAGCGTGTGAGGGGTGGGCCGACTTGGATGTGGCTGCGCCATGCAGACTCTGCCGCTGGAGCCTTGTGTGGAGCTCCTCTGGGGCCACGACACCTGTGAGGGGTGTGCCGAATCGGATGCGGGTGCGCCATGCTGATTGCGCCACTGGAGCCTTCGGTGGAGCTCCCTGCGGGGCCACGAAACGTGTGAGGGGTGTGCCGAATCGTGTGCCGATACGCCGTGCGGACTGTGTCGCTGGGGGTGGAGCCCCCTAGTGGGCCACGAAGCGTGTGAGGTGTGCCGAATCAGGCGCGGGGGCGCCATGCGGACTGTGCCGCTGGGGCCTCCGGGGGAGCTCCCTATGGTGCCACGAAGCGTGTGAGGGGTATACCCTATAAAGCACGCGTTCGCGATGCGGACTGTGCCACTGGAGCCTTCGGTGGGGCTCCTCACGGGGCCCTGAAGCTTGTGAGGGATGTGCCGAATCGGATGCGGGTGCGCCATGCTGACTGTTCTACTAGGGCCTTCGGTGAAACCCCCTATGGGGCCACGATACCTGTGAGGGGTGCGCAGAATCATGTGCGGATACACCTTGCGGACTATGCCACTGGGGCTTTCGGTGGAGCTCCCTATGGGGCCACGAAGCGTGTGAGGGGTGTGCCGAGTCGGGTGCGGGCACGCCATGCGGACTGTGCCATTGGGGCCTTCGGTGGAGCTCCCTATGGGGCCACGCAACGTATGAGGGGTGTGCCGTATGAGGGGTGTGCCGAAAACGCTCCAGCAACGTCAATATCTCAACTGCGATTTAGAGTTGGCCCCGGATGTTCAGGACGTTCTTGCACATAGATTGCTGTGACACCGATATCTCCTGCTGTCCGTACGATATGCGCCGTCTTCCCGCGATGGGCCTCCAGAGCCACGAGCGGTTACACGAGCATGCTAACATGATGCATTTTCCGCTTGTCAAGGCAATTCATGCAGCCGAAAATATGACGTGCTAGTTTAAATGTGTCGCGACGTCGCTTGTCGCCGCTGTCGCCAACATATTACACCATCCATCGTGGGGATGGCATTGCAAGAAAGACCTCAATGGAAACACCTCGAAACCCACATGAACCACAGCGGTCACTTGAGCCAAAGTGGCGACTTGATCCAAAACGACAGCCGCAGCCACCATGATTACTTGAGCCCCTTCGATACTGAAGCAAACATGGGAGGAGGGAGGAGGGGATGGAGGGAAGGGAAGGGGAAGGGAGAGGAGGGAAGCGAGACAGAAGTGAGGAGGTAAGAGCCAGGAGCGAGGAGGGTACAAGAAAGCGTGAGGGATGTGGAACAGGAGGAAGGAGGCGAGGAGCGATGTATATACATATTATCTGATATCCGCCGGCCCCCTTGTGGGGCCACCAGGCTGTAGGAGCGAGGTTCGCAGTTTCCTGTACCAGTTGTAGCTTGTAGTTTCCAGTGTTACAGTTCTGCTTCTTGCTGGTTACTTTAACTAATTGACTTATTGCTGGTTACTGTAACTAGTTGATTGACCGCGCGAGGGGGGGGGAGGCCCAAACCGGCTTTTTAGCACCCCCTGGGCGCGTTGTCTGAATTGCTGGGGGGGCTCGAAATCGACACCCCTCACGTAGATCCGCGGGGTCAGGGTTCAAAAACACAGGGGATTTGCCACATCTCTGAAATTCGGTGCCACCCCTCACGCAGATCCGCGGGGTCAGGGTCCAAAAACACACGGGATTTGCCACATTTCTGAAATTCGGTGCCACCCCTCACGCGGATCCGCGGGGTGGGGCTTCAAAAAACACAGGGGATTTGCCACATTTCTGAAATTCGGTGCCACCCCTCACGCAGATCCGCGGGGTCAGGGTCCAAAAACACAGGGGATTTGCCACATTTCTGAAATTCGGTGCCACCCCTCACGCAGATCCGCGTGGTCAGGGTCCAAAAACACATGGGATTTGCCACATTTCTGAAATTCGGTGCCACCCCTCACGCAGATCCGCGGGGTCAGGGTCCAAAAACACAAGGGATTTGCCACATTTCTGAAATTCGGTGCCACCCCTCACGCAGATCCGCGGGGTCAGGGTCCAA